GAGTCACTTGGGAGGAAGGAACCTCAACTAAAAATAAAAAAAAAATCCCAGGTCAGATTGGCTTATTGCCATGTCTTTGAGGCATTATCTTAATTTCTAGTTGATATGGGAGGGCCCAGTCCACTGTGGGTGGTGCCATCCCTAGGCAAGTCTGTCTAAGCTGCATAAGAAAGGTAGTTGAGCAACCCAGAGGAAGAAAGCCAGGAAACAGCACTCCTCTGTGGTCTTTGCTTGAGTTCCTGCCTCCAGAGTCCTACCTTGACTTCCCTAAGTAATGGATTGAGACTTGGGAGTTCTAAGATGAAGTAAAAATTTTCTTCCCCTCATAGGTTTTTGTCATGGTGTTTATCATAGCAACAGAAACCAAACTTGAACACATATAGAGCTGTGCAATGAGGATTGCTTTTCAAAGGAGCTGTAAAGTGAAGCAGGAGGCCTACTCTTGGGAAATTCAGGTCCCTTTGGATAAGACCAATTCTCTACAAGTTGGAGAAATGTGTACCATTGTGATGAAGATGGTGTGTCACAGGTAGGTGTATGATTCTGGGTAGCACAACATTCATAACAAATTTAATTGAGTCTTTATTAACTATTAATTCTATCAGTCTTTTGCATTATTAAAAAATTTAAGGGGATGAGGTGTAACTCAGTGGTAGAGTATTTGCTTAGCATGGACAAGATCCTGGGTTCAATTCCCAATAATACAAAAAGGAAAAGGAAATATTCTATCCATTTTCACTTTCTGCTTCTTTTCTCCTTAATATACTATTCTACTTTGTATTTTTTCCAAGTAATTCTTCAATTAAATTTTTTGTAATTATTTCTTTAGTCCTTATAAGCTTCCCTTTCATATCCTTCTGCTGTACATTTTTTTCTGGTTTATTGTATTTCACAGCTTTAAATGTTTTCTTAATTTCATTTAGAGATATTAGGCCAGGAGCCAAGCATAGTGGTATATACCTCGGATCCTAGGACTCAGGAGGCAGAAGCAGGATTATGAGTGGCCTGCCTAGGATTGAGATAGATATAAAATCTTCGTCTTTTTGTCTCTGTCTTCTCTCTCAAATCTCCATATCTCCAGATTCAGATGGGGGGGAGGAGGGAGGAATTAAGTGAAAGGAGGATTGGAGAATGGAGGGAAGGAAGGACTAGGTCAGAGTTTTTGTTCTCTTCACATTTTTCTTCTGTTCTCACATTCCTTAGGCATCATCCTCCAGGTGTTATTCTCGATTTTATAAGTTTGTTTTGCTATTTTTGTACTTTCTGACACCTGCTTTCTCTAGATTCTTCCCCTAATTCCTACTTCAGGACTTTCCCTTTTACCTTTAAAGCTATTCTCTGACCTGTTTGATTTCTGAAATGAGTTTTCTTTTTGTGTGTGGATTTGTTCTGGAGGAAAACATAGATGGATAGCTCTGAAATCCTCCAGGACTGTTCATGACAACTTTTAGCTCTTAACAATTCTGTGCATTTTTCTGTACTTCCATGTAATGCAGGATCTGTAATGATTTCTAATTGCTCTCAAATCTGTTTTCTCAGCTTGGCTAAGAAATAATGGTGTCTCTGATTGGGGGAATGGTAGGGAAGAGGGAGTGAGTTGAACACTGAAAAAGCTATTTTAGTGATACTATTTAGAGGAGTTGCTTATGGTTTGGTGAAGAGAAGAGATGCTCAAAAATGGTTTGGGGATTGAGCAATTAGATGAAAATTTTACAGAAAAGGAGCAATTAACTGACGAATAGGTGAAGACTTCTATTTTGGTTATAGTAAGTCTGAAGTATTTATTAGGCATGTGGATATAATAAATCATTGAAATGACCCAAGATACTTTCTGAACCCTTTCCTGAATGTTTTATTCCCTTTCCATTCTTATTCTCCTTGCTACATACAACATCCTTGATCACTTCTATTCCAGCCTTCATTAAATTCATATCACAATTATTTATTGGTCCACTTCCACTGCTGTACCATGAAATTTTTCTCAAATTTTTTAGAAAGTATTTTATTATTTTATTTTATGTGTATGAGTGTATTGCCTGCATGTGTGTTAAGTGCACTCATGTTGTGCAATGCCTGCAGAGGTCAGAAGAAGGTGTCAGATCCCCTGGAACTTTGTTACTGATGATTGTTAGCCTCCATGTGGGTGCTAGGAATCGAACCTGGGTCCTCTGCAAGAGCAGCCAGTGCTCTTACCCGCTGAGCCATCTCTCCAGCCCCTACTATGAGATTATTGTGGAACAGAATCTGTGTTCATTTTTTGTTCCTCAGGTTCCTTCCTGGCACAATGCTGACAGATATCATTATTTGATCAATGCATGCATATGGCAAGGGAGTCAATTTTCTGTTTTAACTGAACTCCAATTTTTGAAAATGATTTCCAAATTAAGCCTTTTTGCTGTCCAGTGTCTTTGACCTAATTCAGGATACATCTCTGAATTTAGGCTGAGCCACCTCTCTAGCCCTGTTTACTCTCTCAGCACTCTGAAAGTTTTCCAAAATAAAGAGGGGCAGTGGCATGAATTAATCTTATACTAAAAGTCTCATGGGGGATAAAATGATTTTGTGACCATTTAGCAGCCTTTGGGACCATTTCCTTACCTAAGTATAAACCTAACCACCATTATCTTCTAGCTGCTATTATTAAATGGCTTGTCTAAATACAGATATATCACCATCCGATTTTATGTACTTTTCATGGTTGGAGAGATCATAGACCATAGAGAAGCACCTACCTCTGCCACTCTTCTAGACCAACACAATTTCTTACTATATTATAAATATATATCCTTATATTTACAGAGAAATGTAACTCTCACCACTCATCAAAGAAGCTTCTTTGTGCAACAGATGGAGACTATTACAAAGTTCCACAACTAGGAAAATGCAGAGAATAAGTGACTGCAAGGGGACCAACCCTAAGTGACACATCTACAATATAGCTGCTACACCTAAGGCTCAGGGAACATCGAAGGAGTGGAAATAATGTAAGAGCCAGAGGGACAAGACATCTCAGAGTAGTTAATGCATTCTAGATATGATAGGGAAGTTGCACCAATGAAATCTCCACAGTACAGTAGCCTAAGAAGACCTAAATAATGACAAAACCAGTTGACAAGCCAAGGTGGGTGGGGGAAATGTCACAGGGTCCCACCTCAAAAATGAAGTTACAGGCAATCAATGGATGTTGAGGAAAGAAGAATCAGCCATCTCCAGAGACAAGCTCCCTGAGAGGTTATCTAATCCCAAGTGGGCATCCCTAAACACGGGTACATAAGAACACCACTAAATGGACTCGGTGAATTATTTACATATATATGCATATATGTATATTTATCAATGTATGTACATGTGATAATAATAAAGAGGAAAAGAAACTGAGATGGAATGGGGGGACATGGGAGGAGTTGGTGGGGACTGGGAGGGATATAAATAATGGAAAGCCAATACTCATGTATGAAATTCTCAAAAATTAAAAAAGGACCAAAAATTTTATGTACTTTTTGATAGGTTTAGGACATGAAAGGCTTACTATAGTTTATATATTACTATTCCTGGTGACTGCATATTGGATTCTGATGGTATTCTTTCAGGATCATTCAGAATTTTGATGATACAACTAAGACCATATTCCTGGGATGTGGAATCTCAGGCCTTTAAACTTCTTACTATATCATAGTGATGTTCAAAAGCTTACAGAAAGTGCTGGCCATAAAACACAGAGTACTAGAGTAGAAAATAAAATGAAACAGTTTAAAGTTAACAATCCTCATAACCCTCTACCACTTATAAAAATATTTCTCCTTCTATTTCATGTATTTAGTTGATGGTATTTTCTGACTTAAAACTGAGCTCAAAAGTGAATACTAAGTTCTGTGAAGCAAACTACAGAATAAATGAAATTGTTATACATTTAGTGTGTCATCTCTCTAGAGAATTAAGTGAAAACTCTTTAATCATTGTCCTTCACACTCCAAGAACAATCATTTCTGATGGAAAATGATCATAAAGCAATATACAGAAATTAAAACACTTTAATATAAACATTTTTCAGAATATAGACCGATTTTCTCAGCCCTTTTGGAGAACATTTCAAAAGTATATATCATCTAATTCATTATAGACTATTTAATTGTCCACTTCCAGAACTAGAAAATACAAAAATACACTGCAAATGAGATTTAATAAAAAATCAGTCTAAGTTCATACACTTTCATTGGATAAACACAAACAAACACAGTGATAATAAAATACCATCAATACTAACACAAATTAAAAATGGGATGAATTCTGTAAAGACTGGTCTCCCATAGGCCTGACCATTCTTCCAAAATCAAGCAAGATTTGGGAAATTCAGGGTAGAATGGCTATAGACTGTAGTGCTTTGTAAGTCTCTCATTTAAAATAAATTCCTTGCTTGGGCAAATAAGTCACTTTCACTGTCATTGGATGAACAAAATGGAAACAACTGCATTTAGCAAAACCATATTATATATAAGAAATATAATAATTTTTATTTTTATAAAATGAAAGTAACTTGAGAAAAGAGCATATGAATATTTTTACTTCATGTGGCTTTTGTTAGCAATTAACTATACATGTAGAAATACACAAATAACACATGAAACCAAAAGTTTTCAACTTTTCTTCAACCTTAAGGGAACAAAATTGGAAAGTTTAAAATCGAGAGTAGAAATCACTGACTATTCTGACTTTTCTTCAGTAGGTTTCTTTCTCTTATGTTCTTGTATTGTGTTCTGGCTTCACATATGGTAGGTTTAGGCCTTTGTGTTTGTCCTTCAATTACATTTTAAGATGAGAGAGAGAAAGAGGGGGAAAGGAGAGCAGAGCAGAGGACATAGAGAGGGAGAGAGAGAGAGGGAGAGAGAGGAGGAAAAAGAGAGGAGGGGTGAGAAAGAGAGAGAGAGGAACAGACTGATGTTTTCGTGCACCGTCACAGACTTCTACTACCTCTTCATCTGAAGAGCTTGATTTTAGTTAAATTCACTTTCTCAACTGATTTCTTGAATTCACTCTTTGTAAATAAAACCAAAAGTTCAAAATTCACAAGTAGACTCACTTCAAAATACTTTCGCAAAGACTACATTTAGATGTTTTGTATATTTGTTTTTCCTTTTGGTTCAATTTCAATTTTTGCAAAGTAAATGTTAAGCTTTCCTGAACTGACACTGCATCAACACTTCCTTGTCTTCATTGGTTACTCGTGTCTTTACCTAAATCAATATTGTTTCTTTAGTTTATTCCTGGGTAAACTGGAAGTTCAAAACCCAAGAATTGACTCATCCCAAAGGATTTCCTCTTCTGTCCTTTCTTCCACAGCTTTCTTTTTCTGTTTTTTGTGCTTACGTTCTTCCTTCTCAGAGGATGCCTCGTGTTTTCTTTTCTTTTTTCGGTGCTTTATCTTTTCTGAACTGACTCTAACTTTATCCTCTTCTCTTTTACTTTCTTGAATGCTCTTTTCTTTGTCTAAATCTTTATCCTGAGAACTCTTTTTCCTTTTATGCTTGGACTCTTCCTTCTCTGGCCTTTCTTTGTCTTCTTCTAGGTGTCGTTTTCTCTTTTGATGACGCCGTTTATGACTTGCGTGATGACCATGGGTATTATCGTTTGAGGACAGGTGCTTATAAACTTCACATTCTACGTTGTGTGAGTCAGAGCTATTTTCTTGTTGACTAAGGCTCAGAGGAACCAGTTTTTCTGAGAAATAATCTCTGGTGAATTGATAGTAGCTATCAGAATCTAGTTTCTGTTTGCTCTCATAAGCTGGTAAACAATGAGGTAACTCATTTTCTACTGCGTGTGAACTACTGTATGGATCTGTGTAAGACTGGAAAGTCTCAAATTGGACTCTTTTCTCAAACATTCTATGTTTGGATCTTGTATCAATCATTTCTCTGTTCCTATGGGTTTCCACTGAGCTATCAATTCTTCTGAAAGAAGTCTTTGGCTTGAGTTCTCTAGATTCCTGAACATTTCTGTAATCCTCAAATTCATCTTGGAAAGTTTCATTTCCCCTCTTCGAATGAGGTGGTAACCAGGAACGTAATTGGTCATCTTTTGGTGAACCATTGTATTGTTGTTGGTAGGTCTGCAATGGCTCAAATCTTCGCTCATACATTCTTTGTCTGTTTCCAGAATCAACCCTTTCTCTATACCTATGCTCCTTATACCTATAATTTTCTCTCATCCTTCTAAAACAAATATTGGGATCTAGTCCTCTTGCTTTCTGCACTTTAATGTAATCTTCAAGTTCATCTTGGAAAGAGTCATATGTCTTTGAATGAGCTGCTAAACAATGAGGTAACTGGTCTTCTACTTCTTGAGAATTATTGTATGGTCCTTGGTTTGTCCAGAAATTTTCAGGTGGAGGTTTTTGTTCAAGCATTTTATGTCTAGGTCTGGAATCAACCATTTCTCTGTATGCATGAGCTTTCAAATAATTATCTTCCATCTTTCTAAAATGAGTCTTGGACTCGAGTGCTCTAGATTTCTTCACTTTGATGTAATCTGCATGTTCACCTTGGTAAGAGTCTTGTATATTCTTTGAATTTTTCATTTGACTGATAACATGGGATTCTCTAAAAGAAAATAATATAAAGTTGATTACTAGAACATTTTATGCTGAATATTTTCTTTGAAATGAAAAAATTAGTCTAGGTAAACAAAATCCATAAAAGTTAAAATACATTCTTAAAAACAACTGTAAAGAGTGAATTTTGATGCTCACAAGACATAGCAGGAATAGTTAAGATAGCTCTCAGGCACCTCACAGGTTTTAAGAAAAAACACTTTCCATTAAGTGGCAGTTAGAGACACCTAACACTTTCATTGTCTCTGTGATCTTTAAATAAGACCACAGGTACATGGCTGCAGGGAGACGTGGGGTTTTGTGGAAAGATACCAGAGTTAAACAGTAGGAACAACAGGGTGAAACTCAAGAATACTGGATGTTAGAACTATAAGAGATTTAAATAGAGAGCCCTAACATCAAGTGTACAGTGGCAAACTAATGAAGGGTAAGATGTTCTTTAGTGGCCCTACAAGCAGAAGAGAAAAGGAAATTGTTGATGAGCTCCATAGTGCAGAAGCTAGCACCTTGCAAAAATATAGTCTAAGACAAATGATCTCTGATCTGTACCAGCAAGCTAGCTCTGAAGAAGTCTCCTGTATTTCTAAGATTATTCATTGGTACTTCAATGAGGAGTCACCTGAAGAGGTGTCCTACTGTCTGACTATGCTCCTGGGTGAATGAATCCAGGTATTTTAATATCTCCAAGTCCAAATTGCCACTAGGCATCACTAAATAAATAAATCATGTAGACATAAAAATCAACAAAGAAACTTCAGCATTAAATGACACCACAAATCAAATGGACTAAGAAGACATCTACAGAATATTCCCTTCAACATCTACAGAATGCCCATTCTTCTCAGCATCTCATGGAACTGAACCATCAAGAAAACAAGGCTTAGAGTTAAGAGAAAACCTACAGAAAGGGAGAAAGTTTTTGTCAATCACTCCAAATGGATTTGGGGCTTGCACTATAAGAGAGAATGCATGCCTAATATTATAACACTGGTCCAAAACCCATGTCTGAAGAGGTCTTGACCCTCTGGAGGGGAATCTAAAATGGCTGCTTACCTTAATTGACATGACATCAAAACACCCCCTAAGTATCTATCCACAGGCAGAGCCTATCCTCAGTATTAAAATGAGAAACCTCTACGTGCAATAAACTGAGGTAAATACACAAAGACTCATGGCTGCCCAAGATGCTGAGAATAAAGGACGATTTAAGGTTCAGCCCTAGACAAAACATTTATGTACCGTCTTAAGGGTTAGAGAATAATGAAAGAGGGCCGAAAGAATGTAAGACCCAGAGGATGGGGAGGGGTGCTCCAAAATACCACCCAAGCATGACATAGGCATGGGAGCTATGAACTCACAGCAGCTGTATATATGCATTAGATCCACATAAGTCAGACCCTCTTAACAGTCAGTCAGCTATGAAGGAGGATAGGACCACATAATGCTGATCTTTTGGCAGCTAACAAATTCTGGTAGAGGCAGAAGCATAGTATCCAGTTACATACCCACTGGTGAACCCACAAGGCTCTGATGGTTAGTTCAAAACTCAGGATCACATAGACAATGCTAATTAACCTATGTAGAACACTAAACAAAACCCAAACTAGTAAATAAGGGAGTTTTATAGGGAAGGGGGCTGGTGGGATGGAAAAACGACAGTTGTAGAGTGGGACCAAAATATTATATATGCATGAAATTATTAAAGAAAAAAGTTTACTAATTCAAAAGAAAACAAAAGACAACAAATGTTGGTGAGGCTGCAGAGAAAAAGAAACAATTATACATTGTTGGTGAAAATGTAAATTAGTGCAGCCACTATGGAACTCTATATGAAGGTTCCTCAAAAACTATAACTGCAAGACGATCCAACTATACTATCCTAGCTGTATACCCAAACGAATACAAGTGGCATAAAAGAGAGATATCTGTATAGCCATATACAGTCCTATTAGAAAATCATGAAGTTACACAATCAATTTAGATGAACACCAGCGGATAAAGACTATGTTATATATATATATATATATGCAGTGGAATATTGTTTAATCATAAGCAAGAATGTAATAATGTTTTTAGAAATAAAAACAGAACTCGAGATCATCATTCATATTAAGTAAAATAACCCAGATCCAGAAAGATAAGTATTAATTATTCGTTTTTCATATGTGGAATCTAGATTTTTTTTAAAATCCCCATCAAATTAGAATGGGGGTCTATTAGGAAAGAGGGAGGATAATAAAAGATACCTGGGGATAAATATGAGCAAAGTGTGTTTATACATACATGAAAATATCACAATGTCACAATGAAACCAATTATTTTGTATAAGCCATATATGCTAATAAAAATAGCTCATGCCTGGGATAAATATGGAGGATGGACGGATATAAAGGAGTGGCTGTATCTCATGCTGTTATAGTTTTACAAATGTTAATGCTCATTTGGATGTGTGGCTAATCAATATTAATAATTATTGCCTTCATAAATGGCCTCATCTAAATGTCATGTTTTTAAACAGTTCCTTGTATAGATCTGCAGATGTGACAGGTTATTTTTTAAATGTCTAAATGTAGCTTCATTTGGTGAGTCTGACAACTTAGCTCCTAAGTATTCAGACCCAAATACTGTAACTATTTTCATAAAGAATAAAATATTTTATTTTTTTATGAAAATACTTTTTCTTTTGTATTGATTTTTTGTGTATTTGATTTTAAAAGCAACAAGCCAAATATGCAGGAGGTCAATGACCTTCTGTCCTGCTACCTGAATTACTCACTCCTCAATTATTTTCTCATTTCTCCTCTTCTTACAGTAATATATTAGTTCTGACTAAATATTTATTAAACTCCTACTATGTGCCATGGCAGGTATAATTCATATATTATTCTATTTCTTTATGACAATATTGTATTAGAGCTGTCCTTATTATACACTTGGTAGGTAGAAAGATGGCTCTGTATTTTGATGTAGGTGTGACAGCAAGACCTCTGTCCTTTATTCTTTTTTAAAAATATTTTTATTTATTATTTTTATTTTATGTACATGAGTGTATTGCCTGCATGTATATAAGTACACCAGTGATGTGCAATAAAAGTGAAGGTCAGAAGAGGATGTCATATTCCCGGGAATTGGAGTTACAGATGTTGTTAGCGGCCATGTGGGTGCTGGGAACCAAACCTGAGTCTTCTCTAAGAGCAATGTTCTTAACTACTGAGCCAGCTCTCCAGCCCCATGTTCTTTGTTCATTTTTAAAGATTTATTTTATTTTCAATTATGTGTTTGTGTGTGCATCTGTGTGTGAGTTGTGTGTGTGTGAGTGCTGGTGTTATACCTCACTCTATGGAGAATGACTGGATCACAGAATCCCTGGAACTAAGAAGTCTTTAGAGATACTTTGAATTTGCATGGTTAGCCTGAAAATGATCTTTTAGCACCTCTACAAAGAAGTAGAATGCTGTCTGGTCAGGAAGGGTCCCAATTTTTCAGATCTGCCAGTACATTATTTTGACTAGGAAATATCCTTGGGAACACCAGTGTGCAATGTTATGAGTACCACCTACCATTTCTAGGTTCAAGTCATAGGAAAATGAATGTCTACGAAGTTTGTAAAATATATGAAAGAGTACTCGCCTAGATGCTTTGGTCTGTGGAATCACAAGAAAGCTTTGGCAAAATCACTTACTTAATTTGATGTTCACTTCCTTGCATGTGGGACCGGAACATATGTAAAGATGTGAAGGTGATACTGCAAATTTGGCATATGTAGGTTCTCATTCTGAATGCTGTAAAAACAGAGAGATGAAGTGTAGGAAGGTGAGTATAGATACACTTAGAATCATATAATACTAGAGATGGATAAGAAATCATCTACTTGAAATTTCCCACACAGGTAAAATTACTTGGTCAAAGTCACAGAGCCAGTTAGTAGTAAAGTTAGCTTCTCAGAGCTCATGGCTCCCAATTTAATGCTCAATTACTGCTATACACTTTATCTATAGTCTTCTTTCTTGAGAATCTGTTACTTGCCTACTGTTGCTGCATAGAGTATGTAACAAGTACCTCAAATATAGCATGGGTAACCAACTTACATTAGTTCTTCAATCAGCCTCTCTTTGTTTATCCTTAATTATTTTTTCACACAAACTCTGAATTGTTTCAAGAGTTAAAATAGAAAAAATTTAACCTCTTGCTTGAAATTAATGTAGTCCACTAGCCATCAAAAATAATTCCCAGATATTTTACGAGAGGTTCAGTGAGCACCATTCATAGGGTAAAAGTGTAAAGCAAAATTCTAAAATGAAACCACTAATTGTCACTTCAAAACCATCAAAAACTATAAAAAGCAGTATAATAGCCAGCTAACTATTCTGCTTCTAAAGTAGAATTAGAAGCAGGAGATAAGCTTATTTTCTAAATCTTATCCTTCTCCTATGTTCTTCTTGGTAAGAAGAAGCAGATGAACAACTTTCATGAGACAAATATGAAAACAATTAAATTTAGACAGGAGGCAATAAATTGGGACTACAAAGATTTTATAAACAACTAAAGTCATCTATTAAATAAAATAGCAACCTAAGTTAATCATAATTAAGTGTATTGGCCTTTGTCTGAACAAAGTTTATTCATAGAAACAAGTGACTACTGATAAGGGGAAAATAATGCATTGAATAACATTTTCACTATTGATATATTCTATTAATGACCAGAGATCAGCTGGTTATGTTAAAATTTGAATGAATGTTGTTTAAAACATTTTTATTGAGAATTTCATACAATGTATTTTGATTGCATTCATATTCCCACCCCCATCTCCACTCCCACCATACTACACCCACTGACTTCATGTCCTCTATTTTTTTAAAAAATTTTTGTTTCTTTGAAAGCCCATTGAGTCTAATTCATGTTCCCCAAATGCTCTTGGGTGTGGGTCCATCCCCTGGAGGTTTGTCAACCTATCCAGTGTCACACCCTTAAGGAATACTGATTCTCCATGAATGAATGTTTTTATAAGGGTGCTAAGAACATCCTTCGAAGAGAATAATCTTTTCAATAAAGGGGATTAGGAAAAGTGACTATTCGAAAGCATAAGAATGTAGGTAAATCTCCCTCACCTGTTACATTACTCAACTCAAAATGGATTAAAGACTTAAATGTAAGACTGGCAGCTATGAAACTAAGGAACACACGTGTAAAGTGCTTCAGGACAGTGTAACAGGCAAGGATTTATTGGAAAAGTTCCCAAAATATAGGAAGCTAATGAAAAAAATACACAAATAGGATCCTATAAAACAAGTTTCTGCAAAACAAAGGAAATATACAATAGAGTTAATAAGCAATCTATAAATAGGAGAAAATACTTGTGATTTATACATTTAACATGGGATTGATCTCCAGAATATATAAGAAACACCCGAAACTCAACAGCAAAAAAAAAAACTCATTAGAAAATATGCAATTAAATTAGCCATTTTTTAAGAGAAGATATACAACTGTCCAACAGGTACATGAAAAAATACAGAACATCACTAATAATCAGGAAAATGCAAATCAAAAAAACAATGAGATGCTAGGAAGAATGGCTAATATAAAAAAGACTAATGGTTGAAAGTGCTGGTGAGGATGTAGAGAAAAGGGAACCCATATACACTGTTGTTGGGAACCTAAATTAGTAAAGCCATTTGAAAACCAGTATTGGCACTAATTAGAAAACAGAAAGGAATTATCACATGTACCTGTAATTGCAACACTGGTGTATAGCCAAAGGAAGTGAAATCAGTATGTAAATAGGCATGTATTTATTACAGCATTATTTACAAATAGGCAACAGATGGAAGCAAACTAAGTACTCATCAATAGATGAATGGATAAAATGTGTTAATGCAGTCAACAGAATGTTATTCTGCTAGAAAAGTAATGAAATCCTGTCACTGTGACAGCATGGTTTGAACAGGAGGTCAATACGTTACATGATATAAGCCAGGCAAAGAAAATGCTACATAACCTTGTTTACTATGTGAATCTAAAATATTTGATTGATACCACAGAAATTTTGAGTATAATAGTCATCACTAGAGGGAAAAGACAATAGGAGTTGGAGAAGGGATGAGTAAAGATTAGTCAATGGATACCATGTTAACAGTTAGATGAGGGTAGGTAGGTCTGCAGTACTATTCCATAATATTTCTATTACACTTAACCATTGTATACTATACATTTCAAAAAGTTAGGGAAAGGATTTTGGAAATTTTAACTACAAAAAATGATAAAAGCCTGAGGATATAAATATGTGTAACTTGTCTTATATATTACATGAAGTCTATCTAAATCAAACATTATATGGTACTCCTATTTTGTAAAAAACTATTATATGTGTGTTTTGTCTGCATATATGTAAGTGCACCATGTGCATGTAATCCCCACAGAGACCTGAAGAGGGTGTCGGATCCCCCTGTAACTGGAGTTCCAGACGGTTCTTAGCCACCATGTTGGTTGTGGGAATCGAACCCGGGTGCTCTGGAAGAACAGGAAGTGCTTTTAACAGCTGATCTATCTCTCTAGCCCCAATACTCCAATTAATACCTACAAATCTTTTTTTGTATTTGAAAACTTTGAATAAACAATTCCTTAAAGCCATCCTCCTTCTCTGTGCATTTATTTCATGGTGATTAAGCAACTTTCTATTTCTAATTTGGTTTTGATACCAGAGACATATAATGTGGATTATAGACATCAAAAACATCCCAAAGATTAGAAATATGTATTGTTATTATAAATCAACCAATCCATTAACTTGAATTACAATGTTTATCAAATTTCTCTGGTAAAAATAACCTCAGTTATTAGGTAAAAATACAGATCCCTAGAACTCTCCTGTGGAGAATATGATTCACTGTTTCTGTAGTAGAGCTGAGAAGTAGATTTAATTTTTTTATTATTTTTGTTTTATGCATATGAGAAGCAGTTTTTATCAAAGTGATTGTCAGAAACTTTGTGAGAAATACACTTCAGGGAATATTTATTAGCTTATTTCAAGGTTCTTTGTGGTTTGTGAGTACTTCATTTGAGGTTAATTAACTGATGACTCTGGAACTAAGTATTTATTAACCGAAGGATTCAACCTAGAACAGATGAACTGCTATTCATCTTTATACCAATCTTTCCCAGTAAATTAGCACTTCATTTTATAGGGGTGGAAACTAAAGCAAAGATGTTCTTGGTCAGTGCCATATATTTTGAGTGCACTTAAGTGATGTGAGATAAACAAGAATCATTGTTTTTTCTAGCTTTGTGGTTTTCAAAGCTGGTTATATATTAGAATCATATGGAAAATGTTTATGTTACCTTGACTCTTGGCTTTTCTACACATGGATGTTCTTCATTGTTCTAGGCTATTGGTATTGGTCAGCTTCACATCAGACCAATTAAATCTATATCTCTAGGGGATGGAAAAGGACTCTTCTACTTCTTGAAATCTTTCTAGATAATTTACTACTAGAAGAGTTGGCTTTACTTGGAAGGATGTAAAAGGTTAAGGAGAGCATTGTTCATTTAAGAAATAGTATGAAAAAGCACAGGTGTGTTCATAGGAATGTTGCACAAAATTATGACTGTAGAGTAAAATTCAAGGAGACAAGATGGGAAAGGCAAAGCAGGGATCCAATCAAAGTGGGACTTATATGTTAGGCTAAGGAGCTTAGACATTTTTTCTGTGTTAGGAAACCTTGAATACATTAAAGTAGGAAATGATACGGGTGGTAAATTGTGTATTTTAGAAAAATGCCTCATTTGGCGCAATATAGATGATGAATTTAAGAGCAAACCAAAAAGTAAGGTGAACACAGAGGTGATATGAATGTAATAGACTAGGGAAGATATAATGAGGACATGGAGTAGAAGGGTCTCAGTAGGGGTGGAGAGGAAACACCTGAACTGGTGAAACGCTTAGCTCTGAAACTGGCAAAATGTAGTGAGTGATGGATATGAGGGATATGGGAATGGAGAGACTCTAGAGGAGACTATAAATAATTCTCTGGTTCTTAATTTGGTAACTGAGTGTGTTGCGATCACATTACCTGAAACTGGAACTTCGGAAGGAAGTTACAGAGTGAGAGAGAATGCAAAAGTGAATCTAAGTATGAGCACGGAGTCTGAGATGGCTGTGAGACTTCTAGGTAAGTGTGGGTAACTGGTAGTTACACATGAGTTTAAAAGAAAGAAGATATGACAGAGATTTTGGAGACTCCAGACATGGGAGTAGTTACAATAATCAGAATTCATGACATTTCCTGAGGATAATGAATGGATTGGCATAGGGATAGCTACATAGTGATCAAAAAGTACATAAAAATAAAAATAATAAATAAAATATTAAAACAAAAAAAATTATGAAAGTATACCACTCTTTACACTGAGATGGTAGAGAAGGAAGAGTCTATGAAAAACTTAACGAAGTAAAGGACAAAGATTTATAACATTGAGAATGTTAAAAAAGCTAAAGATGCCTACTTGATTTAGTCATTTGGAGTTTACCTTGAATGAGTAATGAGCAGTTTCACCGAAGTGGAAGGGTAGAGTGGTGTGAAGTCTGGGAGAATGTGTGCCAACAAATGACAATGAATTGAGGAGTGAGTAAGTAATAGTTAAAGACGGGAGTAGAGTGCATTTAAAAACATTTGGCTATGAAGAGAAGGGGTGTGTTAAAGGGGAACTCCATTACAGGAGGATTTGGTTAGGGCAACATATTTGGTAATTAATATCTGTTCGCTTCTTTCCTGTCTTCCTC